GAGAAAGACAATGTTAACAGTTCCCAATATCAACAGTACATCATCTAAGCACAAGTTTTCATTATTAATACATTTATAGTTAGATTCTAAGTCTATAGATATTGGTTTTAATTCTTACTTAAGAATATAGTCATTAGTTTCATAAAAGGCATACCATATCTGGTGGCATATAGAAAACTTAATTTTAGATGAAGGATGCTATACTTAGAGGGAAAGGAGTGAGGGTATGAGGTTAAACTAACTTAGCACCTTTGGAGAACTCTAACCAATAGACTGGTAATTTATGGAAGAATGTATAGACTCAACCTCCTATCTGTATTTAGATAGTTACCCTATGTATAGATAGCAAAAGTTAGGAGATTGAAAGTAGCATAGAGGGAATATGAATGAAAAAAAAAAGAAAAAATAACAAGGAAGAAAAGAGAAATAAGAGAGAAGGAAAAGGAAAGTAAGATAGAAATAAATAAAAAATGGGGGGAAGGTGGGGTATATGCAATTCCTCTATATTATATTACTTTGGTAATTCGGTTGTTCATGCACAGTTCTTGGTTTCACATATGTTGAAGTTGTGGAAGAGAGAGAAGAGAGAAAGAAAGAGAAAAAAAAGTCTCTCAGAACACTGTTTTCCTTGCTTCCAGTAGGTGGCGTTGTCTATTCCTAGCTTGAACCTCTGTATTCAGGGTGGTGGGTATAGCCAGTGTGAAAGGAAATGAGCTTCCACCTGTATCTTCCCTACTCTAGTCTCTGAGGTAGAAACCAGATGCCTATACAGTTGTTTTGTGTTGATAGCTACAACCCCCAAAAGCTTGTGGGAAATATTTTGAGTTATGGCAGCTAAGGGTGGGGGAGTTGGAAACTGGGTACCTGGATCAGCCATAGAACCATGCTGGTAGCCACACCCCCTTTGATGAATTTTAAGGGTTGATGGACTTCCTCTGGACTAGCACATGGGGCGGGCCGGGCTTCCTCCTCCGGTCTGGGTTGGCGCCGGGGTGATTCCTCCTCCGGTCTACTTGGCTGGCACCGGGCTGCTTCCTCCTTGGGTCTGGTTTGGCTGGTGCTGGACTCTAGAACAAATTTAAAAAATAGAAACCAAAGAGTCTGGGGAATGTGGCTTGATGGTTAAGTGCCCCTACATTCAATCCCTGGTATCAAAACAAAAACAAAAACAAAAAAACAAGCCAGAATGGCTATTTTTCTATCACAATAAAAATCTTAAAATACCAGAAGACTAACTTCATGACAAAGAGTATTTCCTGAGAAAATTTCATAATGATAAGATAATCATATGGATGTTGTTTTTACTTAATAACAGAACGTCAAATGCATGTGCCAAAAATTGAAGAATAAAAGGGAGAGTTAGACCACTGTACAATTACAGTTAGGAGGTAATTTTTTTCATTATTTTTTTTCAATAATTGACAGTGAACTGACAGTAAAATATCAGGAAAGGCATAGCTATCTGAACACCTTCAAACACCACAACCTAATTGACATTCACACAATGCAACATCTAACAAAGGCAGAATACATAATTTTTCAAGTTCTCATGGTGCCTTCTCCAAGATCAACCATATGCTAAGCCTTAAAATAGATCATAATAATGTTAAACCACTGAAATATTACTAAGTACATCCTCTGAATACAATAGAATTCAACTTAAAAATTAATATAAACATAACCAGAAAGAGCCTAAGTATATATAATTAAACATTGTATTTCTAAATAATCTGTTGGTAAAAGAAGAAGTAAAAAGAAATTAGAAAATATTTTCAACAGATTAACAACAAAAATACAACTCTATCAGGATTCTTCAGAGAAATAGAATCAATAGAATGAATACTGATAGGGAGGAAAGGAAACAGGGAGGGCAAGAAGAGAGATTTTAATGAATTAGTTTATGTAGATGTGGGAGATGGCAAGTCTAAAATTGCAGGTCAGGCTGGCAGGTTGGAAACTGAAGGTAAATGTTCCTGTTGCCATATTGCATCTGAAATCTGCAGGGGAAGGTAGAGACTATGAACTCAGGTTCTGTGTCATCTTGATGCAGAATTCCTTCTTTTGGGGGAAACCACAGTTTTTGCTTTTAATTGTTTTAACTGATTGTATGAAGACCATCCAAATCATAAGGGCAATCTACTTTACTTCCAGTCTGACTGAAAAGGTTAATTACATGCACAAATACCTCAACTAGACTAGTGTTTGATTCAACAACTGGGCATCATAGCCCAACTAATTTGATGTATAAAACTAACCTTTATATACAACACATAAAAATGTGTGAGATAATACTAAAGAAATGCTTTGAGGAGAATTTATAACTTTAAATGACAATTTAAAAAAAGAATACTCAAAAGCCAATAACATAATGTTTCACCTTAAATTTTTAGTGAAATAAAAAATAAACAGCAAAACAGAGAAATCTTAGAAGCTAAAAACTTTTTTGAGATTATCTATAAAATTGAGAAACATGTAGCTACACAGATTAATAAATAAAAGCAATAACACAAATAATTAGTAATAGGAATAAAAAGGGGGTTGTCACCACAAACACTGCAAAAATAATTGTAGAATGTCACAACTTTAGGACTGTGGATGTAGCTCAATGGTAGAGTGCTTGCCTAGCACGCACACAGCCCTGGGTTAGATTCTCAGCACCAGACACACAAAAAAGAAGATGTCATAGCCTTATGCCTTTATGTTAACAATTTAACAACATAAGTGAAAATCACAACTTACAAAAATTGACACAAGAAAAAAATGGCAAAATGAATAATTGAATATATATGCTTTAGAATGCAAATTTCATATAAAAATTGCTCAAAAGTAATCTCCAGGTTCAATCCTCTGCACCACATAGAAAGAGAGAGAGAGAGAGAGAGAGAGAGAGAGAGAGAGAGAGAGAGAGAGAGAAAGATAGGTATTGTGTCCAACTAAAAAAAAATATTTAAAAAAATAGAAATCTCCAAGCTGAGAAGGTGTATCCATGATAAAGAGTCATATCAAATAATTATGAAAGAAATAGCACCAGTATCATTCAAACATTTCAAAAAACAACAGAGGGGGCTGGAGTAGTGGCTCAGTGGTAGACTGCTTGCCTAGCATGCATGAGGCACTAGGTTTGATCCTCAGCACCACATAAAAACAAAATAATGTGTCAAAAAACAGCAGAGGAGAGATTTTATAATGTTAATATTAAAATTTAGCAGTAACCTTAGTAATAAAGAAAATTACAGAAGAATATCCTTTCTGTAGATAGATGCAAAATTCTTAAGCAATTTTTAGCAAATCAAACCCAAAAATATGTAAAAAGGATAATGAATTTAAAAATCAATGTAATTCACTACATTAAAAGAATAAATTTCAGTATAGGCAAAAAATAATTTGAAAATATTTAGCAATATTTATGATAAAAGCTCTGAATAAACTAGAAATTATAATAAATAACATCTATGAAAAACCTACAGCTAACATTACACTTAAAGTAAACACAAGAATTATTTTATCCAGGGATGACCGTTTTTACCACTTCTGCTCTATATTCTACTAGCCATTAAACTAAGGTGTGAAAAAAAGAAAAAGTTATACAAAATTAGAAAGCAAAAAGAAAACTGTCATTGTTTGCAGATGATAGGGGTTTTTATGTAGAAAATCCCCAAGTATCTACAAAACAACTATGAGAACCAATAAAAAATGTTCATCAGGGTTGTAAACTTCAAAGTTTATATTTTAAATGTTTTCTAATGTGGAAACAAACTATTGCAAAATAAAATTCTAAAAATTCTATTTACTGTGGTTTTAAACAATATAAAATACCTAGGAATAATTATTAAAAGGGCATCCAGTATCTTGATACTTGAAACAAAAAAAAATTGAGAGAAAAATTAAGGAAAACCTAAGTTAATAGGAATTAATGTCAATATGAATTAGAAGACTCATATTGTTAAGTTGAAAATTCTCATCCAATTGATATGTAGATTAACATAATCCCAAATAAATTTCCTACAGAATTTTTGTAGAAATTAATAGCCTGACTCTAAAATTTATTTGGAGATTCAAAAGTCTCAGATTTTCAACCTTTTTTTAAAAAGAAAAGAACAAATTTGGAGAACTCTTCTGATCTCAGAATTTACAAAGCTATAGAAATTAAAATAATTTGCTATAGGTGATCCATGTCAATGGATCAGAATAGTCTAGAAGTTGACCTATGAATATTTGCTTAATTAACTTTTGACATTTCTAAAGTTAGTTAAAGAAAAAAAGGAAAATCTTCTCAATAAATCCATGCGGAGAAAAACGAAAATTGATTTTTTTCAGCATAAATAAAAATTTACTCAAAGTGAATCATAAATCTAAATGTAAAAACTAAAACACTAAACTAGTACTCTACCATTGAACTACTGGACTCAGCCCCTAAAACTCTAACACTATGGGAAAAATGATATATTTATGACCTTGAAGTAGACAAAGGGTTCTGACATAAGAAACTCAACACGTAAAACATTAAAACTGATGAATTGGAATTTATGAAAATGAAAAACCTTTTCTCTTTAAAAGTCACCAATAAGGGGTTTTAAAAAGTCACTGACTGGAAAAGACACTTGAAGCACAATTATCAAAGGAATTATATCCAGAAAACAGAGAATTATCACAACTCAAAATAAAAGACATGGGAACTAACAGAAAAATAAACAAAATAATTAGATATGTTCTCAAGAAGATATAAAAATGCCTAATGAGCACATAAAGAGATGCTCAATATCATTAGCCAACAGAAAAAAAATGCTATTTAAACCACAGTAGAACACACTGCTATGCAAATTTCTAAATGTCTACAATCAGAATTACAGACCATATAAAATACTAGCAAGGATAGGGGGCAACTATAATTATTATAGTCTTTTGACTGCACTGTAAAATAGTATAATCATTTAGTAAAAAGTTTTACCATTTCTTGGGCTGGGGATGTGGCTCAAGTGGTAACACGCTCGCCTGGCATGCGTGCGGCCCGGGTTCGATTCTCAGCACCACGTACAAACAAAGATGTTGTGTCCGCCGATAACTAAAAAATAAATATTAAAATTCTCTCTCTCTCTCTCTCTCTCTCTCTCTCTCTCTCTCTCTCTCTCTCTCTCCTCTCTCACTCTGTCTTAAAAAAAAAAGTTTTACCATTTCTTAAAATATTATATCTGTACCTGCCAAAAAGCCCAGTCATTCTACTCAATCCACAAAAAGCACATGTGTGTATATATATATATTTTCTCATTAAGACTTGCATGTCAAATGTTCACAGTATCTTAGTTATAATAATCAAAAGCCATCCACAGATAACAATCACAACCATAGTCCAAAACATCTCATGAATGGAAAACAAATCATGAATTATCTCATACAATGGAATACTAGTTAGAAGTTAAAAGGAAATTACTACTGATAGACTAAAACACTTTGATTCAATCTCAAAATCATTATGATGAGTGAAAGAAGCCAGGAGAGAGAGAGAAAAAAAAGGATACTGTATGAATCCATCTATTTAAAGTGGAAAAACTGGCAAAACTGATTATGCTGTTAGAAAGCAGTACAGAGGTTAATTTTGAGAAATAACAGTGACTGGGATGTGCATAAGAGGAAACTTTGTGGTCTTTCTTAATGTTTTGGATTTTCTTGGTGTAGATGCTGCTTATATAGTGAGTTCATACAAAGAAAATTAACCAAGTTGAATTTTGTGATCTATTTGGATTTCTGCATATATATCACGTTCAATAAATTTTTTTAAATATAGGAATAAAACAGAAGACATGGCTACAAACTGCATTTTCCACCCCTGTTTGCAACTAACAGTAGTATTATTTGTATTTCCATTTTTGATGTCCTCAGTATCTCTGCAATGGAGACACACCCTCCATTCCTGAACTCTAGAGCTGTGGATTCCTCCTCCTCTCACTACCATTGGCATCTGTACCACCTGCAGCAGCAGCCACAAGAGCACTATAGGAACTCTTGGCTGCTCCCTGGTGATGGCCAGCTACTGTTCTGTCCAGAGACCATTTATTGGACACTCTAAGTT